CGGAACTCACCTTTTTTTTTTTTATTTTTTTTTTATTTCCCCAGATGCCGGCTACGAGTTCGACATTTGCTTCACCTCGGTACAGAAGCGGGCCATCCGTACCCTCTGGACCGTCCTGGATGCCATCGATCAGATGTGGTTACCGGTTATCCGGACCTGGCGACTGAACGAGAGGCATTATGGGGCACTCACCGGTTTGAACAAGGCCGAGACGGCGGCGAAGCATGGAGAGGAGCAGGTGAAGATCTGGAGGCGCTCGTACGACATTCCTCCGCCTCCCATGCAGTCTGATCACCCCTTCTACAGCACCATCTCCAAGGTAAGACCCGTTGTTCTTCGTTCACCTTGCTGGGAGGCTCCTAAAAGCCACCTTAGGTACTTGCAGCATGTTCTGGCTTCCTCCACAAGGTCTCCTCAGCCTCCGTTGCAGCAGCCAGGACTGTTGTGTGTGGTGCTGGCTGGCGTTGGGCTGAGTTTGTCCTGCTCCCTCCCTGCGGAGTTGAACCCCTGGGCATTGTAGAGACAGGTTCAAAGCAGATGGGACGATACCTCTGTTAATCATTAGTCCCATGATCCATGCACAGATGTTTGCTCTGGTCTCTTTGCTCAGAACAAGTGATGTGCCACTTTCCCTAGGAGGGGTTCAGAGCCCCAGCTGTAGCCAAGCACAGGCTCAAACCTCCAAGGCGCTTCTTTGCTCCCAAGCCCAGCTTCCCTTACATGTAGCAGGTCCCCAGGTGGAGAATTTGGGGTTGGGGGGGTGAAGGCCCTGCCACCGCCTTCCTACATTGCATTGGGCTGCTGCATGAGTGTGGCTGTTCCCCCAGGACCGTCGCTACGCTGACCTGACAGAGGACCAGCTGCCGACGTGCGAGAGCTTAAAGGACACCATTGCCCGGGCTCTGCCCTTCTGGAATGAGGAGATTGTCCCGCAGATCAAAGAGGGAAAGCGAGTCCTTATTGCTGCCCACGGCAATAGCCTGCGTGGGATCGTCAAGCACCTGGAAGGTACGTCAGCCCTGCAGGCATCTCCCTGCTGCCCCGGCTGGCACTGCGAGCAGGGCCATGAGTGACAGTGCCTCTGTGTTCACAGGCATGTCGGAGGCGGCCATCATGGAGCTGAACCTGCCCACCGGCATCCCTATCGTCTACGAGCTGGACAAGAACCTGAAACCCGTCAAGCCCATGCAGTTCCTGGGGGATGAGGAGACGGTGCGCAAGGCCATGGAGGCCGTCGCTGCTCAGGGCAAGGTCAAGAAGTGAGGGCGGGCAGCAGGCTAGCATGTAGTAGAG